AAAGGCCCCACGCGACCACCATGCCCAACTATCAAACCAGCACCACCACTGAGCCCCCACAGCTCCCTCAGGTGCTACTCCTGCTCCAGTCCTTCCAGCCCATTCCCTCCTTTGGACACACTCCAGCCCCTGCAATGTCCTTCATTTTGTCATGAGGGGCCCAAAACTGCCCCCAGGATTCAAGGTGGGCCCTCAGCAGTGCCAGCACAGGGGAATACAGTGCTTCCCACAGATCTCGCCCTACAAGGACTCAAACTGTGCTGGTTTGTCTCAGGATTAAAGACAAAAGAGATGAGGAACTGAGGCCCTTGCAAAGCTGAAACCTGTAGGCAGAGGGTAACCAAAGCAGGATTTGCATATTTTCCTGCACAGGTCACTACTGCAGGTGCAGTCAGAGTACAGGAACTGCATCCTCTGAAGTTAATGAGGTAGCTGGGCCAACACTTGAGGCCAATCTCTCCCTGTGTCCAAGGCCACACAGTCCACTGCTTCCCAGGAGCAAGGGGCCACACTTGTCCACTCTACCTTTATGCCCATGGACCTACTAACTGTTCTGCTGAATGAATGGGTAGAGCAGATTACCAGCCAAGAGACAATAAACATTTCTCTCTCTTGCAGCTTGATTCCTTCTCTCCCTCTGTAGCACAATATCATTGGGCAGGGAAGGAAATTCAAACAAGCAATTAGGTGTTTTTCTCCACTAGTTGTGGATTTGCAACTGCCCGACTGCCCCTCGCCGGGAGGATGGCAGGGAAGCTGCTCGTTTCCCCGAGCAGAGGAGGCAGCAGACTCGGTATCAGAGTCTCCCCAGGCTCTCTGGCTCCCAGGGTGACGCGGCAGGAGCACAGCTCCATCCTGCCATCTCCTGTCTCCCTGCCCAACTGCAGAGAGCCCGCACAGACATCCAGACGCGCTGGGAAAGGCACAGAAAACTGATTTAAGAGAGATCCTAACTTCCCATGAAAAGGAAAGAGGAGCAGCAGCCTGCTGGATCCAGCCATGCTCCCCACTGCACAGGGCAGGCTCTTATGTGCCCAGACAGACAGCTCTTCCTCTCCTAACAAACCTTGAGTTCAGCCCCAGAATCCACTTCCCACCTCCAGTGTTTGGCCAGGACCAGGAGGGCACACAGCTCTCCGGGACCCACAGCAGCCCTGCTGGCCTGTGTCACTCGAGGTCTTTCACACAGTGGGGCAGGATGCCTTGGAGCAGATGTGCTCTGGGAGCTGCTTCTGCTGGTCATGACCCTTTTGGATCCCCTTCCCCTTGGTTCTGCATCATGGCATCCACCAAAAATGCCAGCAACAAGGAGCACCCCCAGAGACCTGAGGGAGAGGGAAAGGACAGACCGCTCCCTTCAGCCCATGGCTCGAGAGGAGTGATGATGCCAGACTGGGACACCAACTTTCCCACTGCCCAAGGACAAAAGCATCTGTGCAAAGGTATCCCAAACAGTGCTCAGCCCGAGCCAAAGCCAAAATTCCATCCTTACGAATTTTTTCCAGTCTGTTTTCTAGTGCTGGGATCCCATTCCCCTCTCCCTCCATGAGAGAAGCTCCTCCCCTCAACACAGCAAAGGGCAGAGAGCAAACAGAAACCTAAGGAAACATTTACAGCAGAAAGTTACCTTAGGATGGGAATCTGGAGAAGGTAAAGCTGGAAAAAAGGTTTAGGCACATTATTTTTAAGGACTCAAAACTGGTCCTTATTTTTCCCTTCCATGACTCACTAAAGGAATGAGTTTTTGCATACCCCTCAAGTAGGTGAGATTTGCTGAGCAGCTTAGGAAAAATGCAACCACCTCACTGCAGACAGCTGAGTGCCAAACACTGGATTTTCCTTCCTGCAGGGAAGCCACTATTCTTCCAAAGGCTTGAGCAAGGATTTCCCAGCCATCACCACCATAAGCAGAGGACAAATGTCATTGAGAATAAAAAGGTGTTGCTCAACAACTTACTTTAGCAACCTGGCAGCCTGGTGAACCCACAGCCCCAGAGCAGCAGCTGTAGTGAGTTTCCCATCCACCTGGCACTGAAAGAGCAAGAGATTCAGAGTCAGAGGGAACCTAAACTTTAGCTCTCACTTGCAGAGATACTCTGGATGAGCACAGCAACACTGGTGTATCAAACACAGGGGAAAGCAACTCTGGATTCACAGGCAGCAATCTGAAGAGTTTAAGTCTCTCATATTCAGCCAGACAAACTCCAGAAGCCACCTGGATGCTCTGATGGAAAACCACAGCAGAGCTCAAACTAGGTTAGTGTCTTGCTGCAAATGAATTCAACCAAGACCAGTACACTCTCCTGGGAGTGACACATCCAGTGCTCCCATTCAGCCTCCTGAAAGGCTCATTTTTTCCAAAGGGCACAGGAAGGTTTGGATTTTCTCTTACGTTTTCTAAGCAAAGATGAAGCACTTCTGCTGCAGCCCCAGTGTCACATCTGGGGACTGTCCCACTGCCCAGCAGCTCTTTGCGCAGCCATTTCAGCAGCCACAAGACCCTCCAGCAACACAACCAGAGAGTGTCACCACCTGGGAGTGTGGCACGCCCCAAGACGTCCCCACAGCAGCTCAAACCTGAGGTAGATGTGTTTGGAGCTGGGGCAGAGCAAGCACAGGACTGATCCCCCCGGAAGGGCTGTACCTCTCTGCTTGCGCAGCCTCCCCCAGTGATGGACACACTCCTCCTTGCGGATGCAGTTCCCGGAGGCTGAGACCATGTACTCAGTGCCACAGCGACAGCAGATCCTGCACGAGGCTGGGGGAGAAGAGAGAAACAACACTCAGCTCACTAGAAATCCCTCACCTGCTTGATTTGGCCAAAGCACCAGTGACTCAGAATCACTCAAGCCCCAAATAGTGGTGAAACAACTTGTACTGTTAAAAATGCAAGTGTTGTACCTAAACTCCCACAAAGGCTCAGCAGTCCCTCTGAAAATGCAGTGCTGCCACATCTGCCCCCCCAGACACTTCCCAGAGGCAAACACTGTGTTTCTGCTGCACAGCATCAGCTGCAGCACAGTCCCCAACAGCATGTGCTGCATTGTTTCTCCATCCACAGCCAATTACATTGGACTCTAACACAGTTATTTTCAGAAACAGGATAAATAAGTCATTCCTTGGACATCAGAGCTAATGAAGTCTGGTTTCCAGGGGATCTGTGCCTTGTCACTTCCAAGTGACATTTAGCTCTCCCCGGGCACAGTTTTTCTGTAAGGATTCTTCAGCATTAAAACTGAGAAGTCTCACAGCAGAGCCAGGGCCACCAAGGGGGCAGCCAGGGACAGCTCCCCCCCTCCCACTGCAGCTTGGAATTCAGACACGGGACATGCAAAAAGCCACTGTAAAGTAGCTGACAATCATTCCTCTGATCTCCATGCAATCCCCTGAGTCCCAGAGTGAGCATTAACACCAGCCCAGCCCAGCCCAGCCCACTTGTGTCCACCACCACAGCCACAGCACTAACAGACCTGCAACAGCTCTGGTTAAACAAGAATCATGGAATCATCAAGGTTGGAGGAGAGCTCTAAGATCATCAAATCCAACCATTAACCTGTCACTGCTGTAATCCCTAAAGCAGATCCAGACATCTCTTAAACACCTCCAGGGGTGGTGACTCCAGCACCTGCCTGGGCAATATCCCAGTGCCTGAACACCCCAACACTGAAGAAATTGTTCCTAACATCCAATCCAACTCTCCCTGTGTTAGTTTATGGCTGTTCCCTCTACTCCTCATTCAACTAATTCGAAGATGCTGCAACAGGAAACTACAGAAACAGAACCAACGTGAGCTCAGGATCACATAAAGGAGATGCTGGTTACCTGGAAAAAAGGACTCTAACAAATGCAGCACTTGACAGTGCTAATGTAAGAGCTTTTGGCCAGGTTGCTTCAGCAACCACAGGACAAATGTAGACACAAGGTGACAACATGGATGAGCACTTAACAGCCCTTAGTGAGATGACTCCAAAGAGATGCTCAGGGGAGCATGGCAAGGCACCTCCACAGAGAGGCATCCACGGAGACAACCTGCCTGATTCCCGTTCTTCGACAACACAGAATCATGGAATTGCTAATGTTGGAGAAGACCTTTTAAGATCATCAAGTCCAACCATCAATGAGCACCACCATTTTCACCACTAACCATGTCCTCAAGTGCCACATCTACAGGCTGTTTGAACACTTCCAGGGATGGAGCCTCCACCACTGCCCTGGGCAGCTGTGCCAATGCTTGACAACCTTTTCCGGGGAGGAAATTTTCCCTAATATCCAATCTAAACCTCCTTTGACCCTGTTACCTAGGAATTAGAAACTAGAAACCTCACTCAGCCCCACATGCCACAAACTCTAAACCTTGGCTCAAATATCTCATTCTCCTGACATGGAAGCTGAAGAAACTTGTCCTTTAGGAGCACAGCAGAGATCTGCAGCCACACTCCTCTCCTATATAACCAACTGGCATGTGGAGGAAGGTCACAGCCAGCAAGACCCATGACAGCAGGAGCAAAGACCTTTATACAAGCAGGACAGTATCTCCACGTGTATCTAGCAAACCTTGCAGAATGAGAGCCAGGAGAGCTTACAGTCAAGCACTTTCTTCTCCTCTGCAGTGAAGAGGACAGCACGACCAGCCTTCTCGGGGTGTGCCATGGGGTACCCATTCTCCTTGAGCTGCTCCTCAGTCATCAGGTAGTCCTTGAGGCGCCGGTACAAGGCAGCTCCTGCACACACAGACAGTGCTGAGACCACAGTTCTTACATAGGGGCAGTTTCTCTTACTAGTTTTGGTTTTATCAAGACTCCTGGCTTGATCAACTACTCCCACTAGTTTGGACTTGCTTCCACAGACAGACAGACAGATATTGTTTAACAGTATATGTATACAGCGTTTATGTGTGTTTTAGAATCTGGTTGTTGGTGCCCAAGGTGGCAGGGGGATCGGGCCTAGATGATCTGTAAGGGCCATTCCAACCTCTAAAATTCTATGGTTCTATGACTTCTAACCTCTTGACAAGCAGCATTGAGGCTGGAAAGCAAAGCTGAGACTGAATTCCTCAAAGGGCTATTTTCAGGCCTTTCTGTTATCCACAGACTGGTTCAGGTTGGAAGGACCTTAGAGCCCATCTCATCCCCCCCTGCCCTGGGCAGGGACACCTCCCACCAGCCCAGGTTGCTCCAAGCCCTGTCCAGCCTGGCCTGGAACACTCCCAGGGATGGAGCAGCCACAGCTGCTCTGTCCAACCTGTGCCAGTGCCTCAGCACCTCACAGGGAGGAATTCATCCCACATATCCCATCTAACCTGCCCTCTGGCAGTGTCAGGCCATTCCCCCTTGTCATGGCACTAAATGTGAGACTTCTCCCACCTTAACACGCTAAATGTTTTGACTGGTGGTTGGTAACAGCCCACAGAACCCTTCAAGGCCACCCACAGCTCCCTAAATCCTTCGTTATCAGCAGCTTTCCTCCTGCTGCTGATTTCAGGCTGCTCATTTCATTTCACAGAATAATTATAACTTCTTGCACTCTGCTCAATATCCTTTTGCTGCTAAGTTAAACCCTTCCAATATTGCTTTGTGCCCTTTGATGTTGCTTAGCTGAGCTATTTTGGCCCTTTTAAGCTTTCTCCATGTCAATTCCTTCTGCTCTGTGGCCTCCCTGTCTCTTCTCTGATCTCCTCAACAATTTGCCTACATCTCTTGGCAACCAAAATACCCATAACTGATTTGAGCCAACATGAATAATGCTCGTGGCACAACCCTTTGGCTACAGTATGACCTTACTGTGACATTGGTAGAAGTGAATGTGAGCCCTACAGAGCAGATGGAGATTTGTAAGTCTGGATTTTAATCTGTCAGGCACATTGTAAAGAGCTGCTCCAGGGCAAGAAAGGTAGAGTCAAATAACCCCCCAAGCACAGGAAGCAGCTCTGAATGGCTCCTGATGCCACATCAAAGGCAGAGAGGCTGTACCAGTGACCTCCCAGCCCAAACCAGGGGAGTGAGGAGGGCACTGGTCAGTGGTGTCACCCTTCACCAAGGACTCTGCAGCACTGCACCACAGCCAGACAACAGCTCCTAACACTGCCCACAGATACACCCCAGCACCTCCTGTCACAGAATCCTGGACTCGAGGTGAAGGCTCCAGCCTGATCCTGCCTCCCTCAGTCACAGTGCTACACCTCCAGCTCTAACTCACAAATTACATCCTCACTGCAACAAGGTCTTACCTGTTAAATCCTCAGCTCTCAGGCTCCCTGACCGGTTCAGAGTAAAGCTTGTCTTAGCAGCAAGCTTCCCTCCCAGCACAGCCTCGTGGGACACCACCTTCTTGTTACTTGTCTCTGCAGCGAGAAGGAAGCAGCAAAAGAGATCAGGTACTCAGGTGAGCAAGTGACTTCAGGCCTAGTTTGGGGCAAGAGGAGGACTGGGTTTATCCTCTTGCATTCTAGCACTGCTCCAGAAATGTGTCCAATCCTATTCCCTGATTCAGTGTGTGAGGTGCTGGCCCAGCACTGTCACTCCAGCACTCTGGGGAGCTCCGAGCTCACAGTCAGCCCACGGCAACTCATTTTAAGGGCAGCGAAGATGTTTTTACGATTCTCCTAGAAACTCCTAGCTCTACCTGCTCCCCCAGCACAGAGAGCTCTCCAACTGACCAAAAGCAAGAGAGACCCAAGCACAGAAGCAACCTGATGCCATCATGTGCTGTGTGGTGGCATCACCCACCCACGGTGAGCAGCTCTGTTGTTGGGGCCCTGCAGACCTGTCTCCCCCTCTGATTCTTTCAACTTCTTTTAGGAAGGAGCTTCAGAGCTCTAGAATGTGCTCAGCACATCAGCTAATGGCAGAGAGGAGCTTTTTGCTGATCATTAACTGGCAGCCCTCTCCTAAAGGCCAACCTCCCAAGTTCAGCCGCTCTGACTAATGGCCACGAAGGTAATGAAGACAGAGGGAAGAAAAAGGGAAGAGACCAGGCAAAAAAAATTCACAAGAACAGCACAAATTGATTGTTTAATGTACCCTCTCGAGAGCCAATAATGAAATGTCTTAACCCTCTTCGTCTCTCTCTCGAAGCTTAATGTGTGTAACAGATTTCTGCGGTGATGGACGAGTCTATCACTTTGAAGGCCTCATGTGCAAGTCCCTCCATTAGCAGGGCTTTTCATTTTAAAGAACTTGTGCTAAAAAAAATAATCCATGTGGCATTATCTCCACTTAGGTTCAGAGAGCCAAAAAAGCATTGCAGGACCTGCCTGTTGAAGGCCCATTAAAGCTTGCCAGACTATAAAAAGCTAAACTGGAGCTGTTTGCCTTTCAGCAAAATGCTTTGAGAAATGGGTTCTGGCTTCTCAACAGGTTTCTCTCCATGGTTTCTAATCCAAGCAGGGCTCCAATTACCAAACCACGGGTGTGGTACGTACTGGTGCTGCTGGAGGGGGAGTTGGGCACGAGGCTTCGCAGCTTCTTCAAGGTGTTCACGGCCACGTTCAGGTAGATGTTGCGACTGGTGCTTCGCTCATAAGCCACTTTCTCTTCCGACAGAGCCTGTGAACAGCACAGCTCATTACCACACACTCCCCCATGCTCATGGAATCATGGAATGGTCTGGAAGGACCTTAAAGCTCATTCCATCCCACCCCTGCCACGGGCCGGGTCACCTCCCACCAGCCCCATCCAGCCTGGCCTGGAACACTCCCAGGGATGGAGCAGCCACAGCTGCTCTTGCTTTTGGAGAAAATAAATGTTTGGCTCTTAAAATCCAGAATCCAAGTATGACAGTAAAAAAAAATCTGTCTGACAGGGAATGGAGCAATAAAGTGGCACATGGCTCAGATCTGGAGTGGTATGGGGGTTGCTCAGGTGAGTGAAAGAAAAATAACTGTATTTTACACAAAGTGCTGGAAAAAGCATTTTCCTGTGAAGCTTTCCCTGAGAGATTAACCAAGGGGCTCTGGAACTGCCTGGGAAAGGCTGTTTTCTCCACTTTGGTGCAGTGCAACATCTTAACTGGTAAGAAAAGGAAGTCTGGCAAACGGTCACTCCTTGGGTGCAATAGGAACATTTTCCCCAGGGAGCTGTGAGGATGAAATCCCACAAAGGAATCCTTGTGGCATCTGCTTTGGTTACAGCACACACCACACAGTGTCCCCTATCTACCCAACTAACATCAGTGGCCAAAATTTTCCAACAAAATACATTACTGCCTCAACTCTGCCTTTGGAAATCCTACTCACTACTCCCTACTGCTCCTTGAAAGTCTCCTTAAAAGCCTTCACAAGCAGCAAGGAACCAACACACAACTGATTCCATCTGCCTCAAACACTTCCCTGTGCTCAACACTGACTCCAGGAGGTATTTCCTACTGGACCAGAGCAAAAGGACCAGAGCAAAAGGCCTTTTGTCCAGAAAGACCAAGCTTTCCAATGAAGGGAAAGTGGATGTTATTCCCTGCAGCAAACTTTATTCCTGAGAAGCAAAGATCCATACAGACCTTGTCGAATGCTTCCTGGGAGGAGGAGCAGAATTTCAGGCACTCATCAATGAAGAGGTTGAGATATCTTTGACGAATGTTTGTTGGGACTTTAGCACCAAACTCTGCGGGAATAACAGGCCTCTGTAAGCTGGTGCTCTGGAGGTGGGACAGAGACAGAGAGAGAGAGAGACAGAGAGAGAGAGAGAGAGAGAGAGAGAGAGAGAGAGAGAGGCTGGTCAGGCTTTAGCAAGTTGCTCTGAGTCTCTCCCATTTCCTGCTGTTACTAACAGTGGTGTGACTTCCTTTCTGAAAAGCTGCCAAAGCTAAACATAACATGCAGCACTTTTGGGCACTAAAAATACCACCTGAAGGTTCTGTGCCACCTTCAGCACTTTAACTACTGTTCAAAACAATTAGGTTTCATCCTGCCACTCACCCAGGGGCCAAGGGCTCCAGTGGCATTAGTCACAGCACTTCATGCACACACAGAGATTCCAGAGCAAAGAAATGCTGATATTTCCTTTAAGACATCCAGGACTGAGATGGTACCAAGCACCAGGAGCTGAATGAGAGCTATGAACATGTGACACCAGCTATGGGCATGACAGACACAGGGTTTGGTGCTCTGGCAGTGAATTGAGAACAGGAGGCTCCTTCCTGCCAGGCTGGACACCACACATCCTGTAGGATTCCCAGAATTTTACTGCACTGGGGTTTTCCCTCATTTTCTAATGCCAATCATGAATCACAGAATAATCAGAGTTGGAAGGGACTCTTGAGGATCATCAGTCCAACTCCTGCCCTGCACAGTTCATCCCCAACACTCCACCCTGTGCCTGAGAGCATCATCCAAACATTCCTGGAGCTCTGTTAGCCTTGCACTGTGACTTCCCTGGAGAGCCTGATGCTCCTGAAAGGACTTTCCCCTTCAACTGAATGACATCTTCTTCAGGCACAGGACCCACATATTGGGCTGAGTTACAATCTACCACTGTAGTTTCCCACTTAACACCAATTTATTCCCCAAATCACACAATTTGCCTCCTTTTCAGGGAGGAAATTGTACATTCACCTCTGAAGCACCCAATTGTTTAGTCAGTCATTCTCCATCCCACCCAAGAGACATCCACAAACCAAACCATCTGCTGCAGCCTGGAATCAAAACAGCTCTTTGGAAGACATGAGCATGTTCTAAGGGAAGTGACTGGTTCTACTTCAATGGGAAATGTGCCCATTTTCTCCAGATTTCTACTTTGGTGCCCTGTTCAAGGGGATTTGGTCCTTTCCACTAAATACATGTCTTCTCAACCTCTAATGTGATCCCTTATGCACCTCTGTCATTCTTGCAAGTGTTTTATCCTTCCAGTTGTTTCTTCTATTTTTAATCAGCTTCAAGCTCTATTACTGTGGTGGGTTTGGGTGGGTAAAGAAAAAAAACGACTTTTCACTCTCATAGAAATAATCAGAGCATGTTATGACAGAGTTTGGCACAAGATATCATCTACAAAGACATATTTAATCAAGCCCTGGCACGAACCACGTTCCTGCCATCCACTCCAGCCAACAGCTTCTTATGCCATTCACACTCTGCTCCGCAGTGTCTCAGCCTTCCCAGTGCTCATGGGGAAAGGAAGGGCTTGGAGAATCACAGACTGGTTTGGGCTGGAAGGGACCTCAAATCTCACCTTGTGCCACCTCCTGCCCTGGACAGCGACACCTCCCACCAGCTCAGGTTGCTCCAAGCCCTGTCCAACCTGGCCTGGAACACTCCCAGGGATGGAGCAGCCATAGGTGCTCTGGGCAACCTGCTCCAGTGCCTCAGCACCTCACAGGGAGGAATTCCTTCCCAATATCCAATCTAAACCTTCCCTCCTTCATCCTAAGGCTATTCCCCCTTGTTCCACCACTTTGCTAAGCGACTTCTTTCCCAAGCAATTCACAGCAGAAGTCCCCAGAGGCTGGACAGGTATTCCAGGAAAAAAAAAACCCTAATAAACTAAAAGCAAATGTGAAAAACAAACGAACAAATAGCTTTTCCCTAAACATTGGCAGCAGCCTGAAGTTCAGTGATCACATGTAACTACCCAGGTCACTGTGGGACGTTATCCGTAACCGCTTGCCTCGGTCTGGCCCGCAAAGCCCAGGAAGGCCATTAATCCACCCATGTCTTTCGAGCGCGAGAGGCTCCAAGTCCCTGACCCAAACGGCCACACACCTGGCCAGGCAGCACAAGGGAAGGCTCAAACTGCAGAGGAGTGATCAATATTCCAAGAGATCAGATCAGCACTTAAGCATTTCTATCTTTTTAAGCTCCTACCCCTCAAGTGTTTAATTTTTCATACAACGCTATCGAGGAAAACCACAGGAAGAAACAAACCCGTTTAATCAACCTAATCAAAACACCACTTTCAGACAGTGCTAAATTTGTTGCAGCAGGACCAAACACACCTCCCTCACTGAGGAAGGACAAGAAAGAACACAAACTTCCCTTACCTGTAAGGACGGCACATGTGCTACCCTTTTGGGCACGATGGTGCTGGTGGTCTTTGAAGCCATCCCAGCCAAGGTGCAAGCCTTCAGGGGAAGGGCTGGGGCTTCAGACTCATTGGAAGGTGTGACACTCCTGCCAGCAACAGTTTTCTTACTGCTCCCAAGGCCTGCAGGAAACAGCAAACAGTCAGGTAAAAATCCTGCCTGGCTTCAGGCGGACAGAAGGAACTCACTATCACAGGCCCATGCTGCAAGCTGCGAGTTTTTCAAATGGAAGTCTCCAAAAGAATACAAATTGGGTGATTTCATCCCCTTCCAGGCAAGGATGAAGGAAGCTTCTCCCAGGAAACGTGCCTCATTTCTGTTTGTTTTGGGGTTACTGAGTCAGCAGAGTTTAAAGAGGTAACTCTGTCAGCTGCGAGGCACCGGCAGCACCACTCAGCTCTGAGTCACAGAATCATAGAATCAACCAGGTTGGAAAAGACCTCAAAGATCGAGTCCAACCCTACCACTGTGGAGTCCTTCCAACTCCACAGGGACAGCAATGAGTGCTAATTAGCACTTCCCTCCTGCTCCTGCCACCTTTGAAGGCTTGAGTGGAAGAGGGAATGAGGAGCAAGCACAATCCAACGAAGAAACAGAAACAGAAAAGGCTGAAGTGTCACAGTTAGGGTGTTCAGGCACTGGGATATTGCCCAGGGAAGTGGTGGAGTCACCATCCCTGGAGGTGTTTAAGAGGTGTCTGGATCTGGCCCTGGAGATGGTTTAGGGGTTACAGCAGTGACAGGTTGGATTTGATGACCTTAGAGGTCTCCTCCAAGATGATTCTATGACTCTAAGTGCAGGAGGCTGGGTGAGACTGATGGGGGACAGTGCTGTGTGTCTGGCCTGGTGCCTTTCAGAACAGAATGAAATTTCTCAGGAAAAGACCTTCCACTGGTCACTACCACCAAAGACTCAAGCCATGGCCAATGCTACACACCTGATAGTTTCCCACCTGCTCAGGAGTGATTTAAACACAAGGCAGTGACTTCTAGCCGGAGAAGGACAGGGCAGTGATCCCAAATACAACTGTGCTGGCTTACTTTGCTTGGCTGCTGCGGTGAGGGCTGCGTTTGGCACATGAGCAATCCTCCTCTTTTCTCCTGGCAAAGACAGAGAGGCCTTCTGAACAGCCACAGCCAGTTGTGCTGCCTGCTGCTGAGCCAGCTGGATCCTCTGGTAACACACCTCCTGGGCTGTGGGGGGACGGTAGGGCCGCACTACAGGCTTGCTCGGGGCCTCTGCCTGCACAGACACAAAGTGTCAGAGCCAGCACCCTCCATCCCCACCCTCTGCCTTCCACTCTCCCAGCAAAGACCTCTCTTCCTCAACCCCTCTGTTAGCAAGTACGAGGGTTTGAAGGAGAAGGACCCAAATACTTCCTCAACCCCTCTGTTAGCAAGTACAAGGGTTTGAAGGAGAAGGTCCCAAATGTCTCCCAGCACAAAGCAGTTAGTCACCCATCAGAAAAACAAGCCATTAACGATTCACCCTCTGGCAAGGCCTCCCAGCACACTAGCACATTCCTCAATTGGCAGGTGGGATCCAAACTGCTTGTCTGGTGGCATGACATTCCCAGTGTTGTGCCTAACCCACTTCAAGGCTCTGCCAACACTGCTCTTGCACCAGAACATGACTACAGCCCTGTGCTGCCCACTTGGGCTCATATTCCAATGAAAAAGTGACAACTGGTCTCCATCCACCTTCGCCACATGATGCTGAGCTTCACAGCTCTCTCCCTGCGGCCCCATCCCTGCTCCCACCTCTCAGCAGCCTCCTTTCAGGTCCCCACTCCTCTACCTACTGAGAAGCCTCACACAGATGTCTTTATGGGCTTAGAGCATTACATAAACTGAGCCCTGAATTTCACACAGGCTCTGGCCCTGCCTACTTGTGGAGGCACTTCCCTGCTCCAGCCGCTACGAGCACGAACAAGTTCCACATGCATTTTCTTTGATGTCCAAATTTAGGTTGCAGGAAAAGTGCCAGAAATGATGTCAGCAGAGACAGAAGTTTCCTAGCAGCAGAAGTACAAGAGAAGGAGCAGCAGCAGTACAAACTTCTCCACATACTGAAGAAATGTGAGGAATAGGCCCTGCCTCCCAAACCCACTCGGGAGCAGGATGTGCTCATGCCCAACATCACACGGCGTTTCCGGGACCACAAATTGGGGGCAAGCTGGCAGCTGCTGCATTCCTGGCCTCTGATGCTGGCACCAGCTTCTGGATACCAACCTGAGTGCAGTCAGCCATTAAAGGATAATTACAGACTTCCAAGCAGGACAGGCCACTCATCTCCTGCCTCACCTCCAATTCCTCCGGCCCACCATTTCCCCCGGCAACCAAACCAGAGCTCCGCTCCCTCCCCATCTGCTTGCTCAGTCCTTGGCTATGAACCACCAGCAAGGCTGAGCAAACACTCGACTTGGAAGGACACAGCAAAGCACAGGCCTCAGATCTGGATGGAAAAGCAGCAGTTCAGGCCTCACAGCACAGAGGAGCTGAGGGAGTGCAGGTCCTGCAGTGTGCTCTCGGCAGCGGCTGCCGAGCACACCAGGTCGCTCTGTTTGCCTAGGCAAAGCCTGTGCTGGGGGCTCCCAGCCCTGGAAAGCATTTTGGGATCAGCTGTCACATTAAGAGAACATATTTAAAGATCTGTACATGTCTAAAAGGCACCTCTTCACAATAAATATTTGAGTTAATGAATTTCCAAGCCATTTGCTTCAGTCTCTTATCTCTTCACTTGGGGAGAAAGGCCCTTATCAAACCACATGAACTGGCTGAAGATATGCAGTTAAATAAAACACACTGTACTGACCTCAGGGCTTTAGATTATTAAAAGCAAAAGAGCCTTTTCCAGGCAGAGGGGAAAGGAAAAACAATTAATTTGGACTACCCAGCTCAAATCAGTGTGTAAGTCTCCACTCATATCCCGCTGGAACATAAAACTAATCTGTGCCCAGCACCTGGAGGCAAACACATTAAACCCTCAGAGGAAACAGGAATTAAAATCCCAGGGAGAAAGAAACAAAAAAATCAGATCATCTTCCTTGCCTTTTATTTTAATTCTTCCCTGTACTTTGACAACTGTGACAGAAGAGTCTCACACAGACAGTGCCGAGACCTTGGCAGACGTAAGGCACTGGTTGTACACACCTGACAAAATTCCTACAGTATCTTCTAGGTGCCCAAGAGACAGAAAAGTCCCACCAGACCCAGAGTGATCTTGTGTCTAACTAATTTTCATCTAAATCACCGGAAGAAGATATACTGGAGAAAAATGGACATCTCAGCCTATCCAGTGGGCTACAAAGAGCAGAATCCATTCACCCTGCCCTTGGGTTTAGGGAAGCTTTGCTGCCATTTTTAACAGATGTCTAAATATGGAGTGTTTTTAGAAATTAGAAAGAGAGGAAATAAAACCAACACAGACTGATTCCAGCAGAAACAACTCCCACCCTACTGCCTGGCCCTGGGACTGCAGCGTTTTCCAGGGTCAGGCCAGAAAATCCTCACTTAAAACAATCTAAACTTCTGCTTCTAAATCTGCACTTACATTTCCTTGTTTGACAAGATGAGAGATCCTTCTTTTCTGGCCAGGAAACAGGGTTGTTAAATTGTCTTCTGCCTTTTCTTCATTTGCTTCCTCTTTGGATGGCTGGAAAACAAAAAGAACAAGCTTCCACAGCTGAACAGACTCGAAGATCCCTCGCGCTGGGGAGATGTGAGAAGTCTCCTTTTCAATTAAGCTTGCAGGAGGCAGGTGAGAACATGTGGTCAGGTGCTGAACCACTGAGACAAACCTTGTTTGGACCCCAGGAGCCACCAAAGCAGCAGAGGATGAGCAGCATGACAGTTCCCACCCCAGCAGCAGCTCCAGGCTGGACTGGCACGATTCCACCCAGCCCTTACCTGCCACAGGAGACCTGGACAGCCTCTCCTGCTCTCCTCACTCACATCTCACCTGTCATGGCATTCTTAAAACCCAGGGGGTTTGGGTGGTTTGGGTTTTTTAAGAACTTGGGAGCTGACTCACTTCTACCCTTGTGTAATGCGCTGCCAGGGCAGGTCCTGACAACCTGCTCGACACCAGCCCACGGTGCCCCCACTCCACACTCAGGGAAATGTTTCTCTGCAGGTCTAAGGGCAGAAAGCCTGTGGTGACAACCCCCAGGCCACATACCTGCACAGCCAGAACCTAGCAGGAACTAACAGCACTGCTCCTGGGACAGGGGAAACCACTGTAAATCTGCTTTGGTTTGGACTCTGCAGTTAATTTATACAAAACACACTTCCCAAGTTTATTTTCCCAACCCTTCACTGCTCTCCAGGCAATCCTGCTTTCAGTTTTCCAACAGAACCTCTAGCAAAGCTCTGAGAGGAGCCTGACAACCTCTGAAACTCAGCCACACAGAGCCCAGGGCTGGATTTGGGGATGAGCTCAGCCTCCCCTTGGGATGAGCTCGTGCAGATCCCCACAAGCACTCCACAGGGAATCACTTGGCTCCCTAGGAACTCCCTTAAGAAACTCTCTCACAAAGTGATTCTTCCTGCTAGAAAAGCACCACACTGCCCATATGTGCCCTCACAGATCACAGAATCCTGGAATGTCCTGAGCTGGAAATGACCCACAGGGATCATCAGTCCAACTCCTGCCCAGGACACCCCAACACTGCACCCTGTGCCTGAGAGCATTGGCCAAACACTCCTGGAGCTCTGTCAGCCTTGGGGCTGTGCCCACTGCCCTGGGGAGCTGTTCAGTGCCCGAAGACCCTCGAGGGGAACAACCTTTCCCAATATCCAGCCTAAGCCTCCTGTGGCATGTTACCGAGACCAAACACCACAGCTCCATCCCCAAAATCACTCTATCAACAAGAACTTGCCCATGCCCAACCTCACCCACCAGGCACCTACTCACAGACACCCCTCTCTCAAACGAGAATCCCTGCACTGCAGCGTGTTCCTCCCTTCCCACAGAGGAGCAAACCAAACCTCAGGGCAGGGATGTGCAGTGCAGTACGTGCAAAGGAGCCACACGTGGCTGCTGACAGCCCAACTGTCACTCCGGGCCAGAACTAACTGTTTGCAGTGAGTGGCAGCCCCTGGTTCAGCACTTTTTGAACTCAGGGATTAGTAATTCCCACTGTAGATTCTGTGCCCTTCAACTACTTCCATTTCAACTAGTGAACTTGGAGAAAAAATGCCCAAAATAGTGTTTTTTCCTAGCTGGGAATTATATTAAACACTGAAAAAAGAAGAGCGGAATTTTAAACATGCAAAATTAATAGTTAAGAAAACTATCACAAGGAGCTGATTTATAGTTTCTACTCCCCAGGAATTCTGAGTGAGTGCTAAAAAGGTCTTTACTTGTCAGCAACACAGTTCCCTGTGACCAGGCTGGGGACATCAGTGCAGCAGAGAGTTCAGCAAAAAGCTTTCCCAGTCCAGCTTCTCTCTCCAGCACCGAGCTCACCTCCCCACACACCTGGCACGGCATGTCCTCCATACACAGCTGGTCCTGGACCAGAGAGCTTTATTCAAGGTGACTTCACCCACCACCTACCAAAAGCCTGACCACCAGCACAATTCCTGAGGTGGTCATTAGAGGAAAAGTCCACAGTCAATCACAGGAGGAGAAATTGCCTTCCCCCAACTGCCTTCCCCCCCTCCCCGCGGTTGTGTGGCTCCTGCTGCACTCACCTGCACCTCCTTCACATCAACCACCCCCTCAGGAAGCCTGGCTGTGGGTGAAGGGCTCCAAACTGGGACACACTGGGTGCCCTGACGGTGTCCCAGTACCTCCATTATCTTTGGGATGCAGGATAGCTACAGCTGAAGCCACTCAATAACTCCCTGGACAGGCACATTCATCCCCTGGTACCTGCTGGGTCCCAGCACACAGAAGGCACCTAATTTTGCCACCTCAACTCATAAGCCACTTCCAGTGCCTAAAGGGACTCCAAGAGAGCTGGAGAGGGACTTGGGACAAGGGCCTGGAGGGACAGGACAAGAGGGAATGGCTTCCCATTGCCAGAGGGCATGGATAGGTGGGATACTGCACCGACACCCTGTCCTGGCCCTACCTGCCACTCTGCTGCAACAAGGAGGCACTGTCCAGGTTAGCAAACTGAATTGGCTCTGAAGCCCCCAAAACACTCTCCCTGAAGCCTTTTCTCCAGGCCACCACAGTTCTCAGGCCAGATGGAGACAGAAGGAACAGATAACCCTGAGAGCTAAAGGCCTTCCATAGGAAAGGTAAGTGAATCCTTATATTTCATAGCAGCTTTCAATCCAGCAGGTAAATTCAGGAGCAAACTTTTCCAAGCACTCAGTCACGAACAGGCTGAGATTCTTCCAACACATGGAGTCTCCCTCTGTAGCCCTCTTCAGCTACTTGGAGTAAGCAACACCACCGAACGACACCAGACTCCGTTCCTATTCAGAGGGCAGAGGACCAACCACCCCAGCCAGCATTTACCTGTTTCCCCAGCCTTCCCTTGTCTTCAGTTTTCACATCTGTGGATTCATTAAAAATCCTGAGACACTCTTCCATGGGATCGGACTCAAAGTCCACGTCTTTCTCAAGGATGGAATAATCGATGTCATCAGACGTTGAGGAAGATGGTGACTTGGATAATTTTGAGCGCTTCACTCTCTTCGTCCTTTCCCTTTTGCCCTCAGAGGCTGAGCCACAGCCGTCGCCATCCGAGTCCGAGCTCACGGTGAGCAGCGAGGACGGCAAAGGTCGACCTCGGTCGTCATCATCTCCACTCTCGTCGCCAAACAGGTCAACGTGACTCAAGCTCCTCTGCTTACGACCTTTCTTGGGATCTCCTTTCCCCGGAGATCTGACCTTCTCTTTCTTTCCCTCCAGCGCTGGAGTTTTGGTCCCTTTCTCTCTGTTTCTACGGCCAGAGCTTTCCTTACCGTTTTTCACATCAGCTGTTCCGCTCTGAGAGTCTTTCTTGCTGCTCCCAAGCTTCTCTGTGCTGGAGCCTTTAGTGCCACCCTCACTCTTGCTTTTCCCTGAACTGCTGCTGGTGGACTTGGATTTTTCTTTCCTAAGTCCACCCACTTTTTCTGCCTTGTGTTTTTCAGGTTTCTTTAAGTTCCCATCTGCTTTCACTTTGCCGTTTTTATCTTTGCAGTTTTTCTCTTCATTCTTGGGTTTGAATTTTTCTTCTCTCTTGAGCACTTTGTCTTTTTCTGGATCTTTACTTTTCTCCTTCTTCCCAACCTCACTGAGACCTTTACCAACATCAGATTTCTTCCTTTTTGTTTTGTCTTTCGAGTCTTTGTTTTTATGTTCAATTTCCAGGTTGTTCTTCCCAGAACATAATTTCATTGATTTTGTGTTCTTGTCTGATAAGTTTTTGGCAAGACTCTTCTGTGAACCTGAAAGATCTTCCCTGTCACACTGCACTGCTTCTCTGCTATTCTTGGAAGCAAAGTCATCCAGTTTGTTGCTCTGCTCTTTGCTGGGTAACTCATTGTTTGACTCACTTTCGGAACCAGCTTTGGATGGTGAACTACCAGAAGCTGTTTTGTATTCCACATCAGCCTCGTCTTCAGAGGATGAGAACCTGGCACATACCTCATCATCATCATCATCATCATCATCATCAGGATCTTCACAGAGCTTCTTCGGTGATGGAGAGTAGGATTCCTCATAACTGGACACCCTTCCCCTTTTGGCCCCCTTTGGTTCCTTGGCTTTGCTCAAAAGCCTGGCTGAGTAATTGGAAAGGGGATCGTATTCCAAGTCTGTAGAAGGCTTAGAGTCATCAATCACATATTTATTGTTAGTGACTGTGCTACTGTATTTTTTATTCTGCACTATGGCCTTGGGAACATATTCCAGTGAGCTCCCTTTGGAGTGGGAGGAATCCAAAGTGTATTTACTTGAGTGGCTAACAGCAGTCAGAGGAGTGGGGTTGTAGTCTGAGTTATTGTTAAAGTTGTAGCTACCTGGAATATACTCTAAGGAGGTAAATGAATCACTTTGTGTCCCAGCAGCTGACACAGGTGAGTTGGAAATGAGTGAGGAACCCTCCGACGCACTCAACTCCTTTGTGGTTTCCAGCAGCTCCTCATACTTCTTCTGCTCTCTCTCCACTTCATTTTTGACTGCCTCAATGGCCTTGTTGACCAGCTCCAGCTCCAGAATCCCAGGGGTCACATCTGTAATGTCAGCCAGACTGACATCCTCCGTCTCCAGCGAGCGCCTGGGAAGCTCTGGATTGTAGGGATCATAGCCTCGATCTGCAGCAGAGAAAGAAACTAAGTTACTGACAGCAATTCAGGTCAAACCTTCTTTAGAGTAAAATTTTAGGTCTTTTTAAGGTCTGCTCAGATCAACACAGAACGCTGAAAGACACCACCAAAAGCCACACTCTCATCATTACAGAATAAACAAATGTTGGATACCAAAAGCCACCAGTGGTGTTCACAGGCAGACACCCAGCTGCACCTACACCCCCTTCTCACCACTAGGATCCAAGACCCAAAGTAGTCTCCTTCATCTTTTGCCTTTACTCCTCTTCCTTTTGCTAATCCAGACACTCATGGTATAAAGGAAGATTCCTACACAATGAACCACCCTGGGTTTGTTGTTCTGATATACAAGAGGTCTGCAGTGTTCCTGCTGGTGCAGAGGAGAGTGAGGGTGCCTTGTACTGAAAGAACTCCTTCAGGAATGCAAAACATCCTCCAAAATATTACCCAAAGGAATGGCATGAACTTATGCCACAGGACGCTTAGGCTAGATATCAGGACAAGGTTCTTCCCCCAGAGGTGTTTGGGCACTGAACAGCTCCCCAGGGCAGTGGGCACAGCCCCAAGGCTGACAGAGCTCCAGGAGTGTTTGGCCAATGCTCTCAGGCACAGGGTGCAGTGTTGGGGTGTCCTGGGCAGGAGTTGGACTGATGATCCCTGGGGGTCCCTTCCAGCTCAGGAGATTCCAGGATTCTGTGATTCTGTAAAACAGTTTGCTTTGTCCTTCAGGAATCGCGAGCTAATGAGACTTGAGATGCAAACTCCTTACAGGGCTGAGAACTAAAGTGCTATCAGGACACTCTTTTAAGTACAAACTATTTGAATATATTGATGGACCTCAGACATATCAAATTATCCTCCTGAAACACAAAAAGATGAAGTTACCATCAACACTATACAAACTATTCAGAACTTACACAGGACCTCAGTGAGGATATTCTCTAACCCAGAGCTACTTCCCAACACACCAAACTGAGCTGTGCTCAAATCAGCCACTGCAGCACAGAGAACATGGAAGCATCAAACAAGATTCTTCCAAGGAAACAAGGCTGAGGGTGTTTTTGCCTGTCATGTTGCTTGCAGGACATGAGGCCTCAGGTCTGAGGTGGAGCTGGTTTATTACAAAGCTGCTCTGAGCCAACAGCTCCTCTCTGGGCACTGGTCCTTCTAGTTTGGGCAAGAGGTGACAGCAGTAAACAAAGCTGACATTAAAGGAGAGTGGGAGGACAAGGTCAGCTGTGTAATGGCAGAACTTCTCTTACAGGGCAGTGGTGGAGTCACCACCCCTGGAGGTGTCCAAAAACGTGTGGATGTGGCACTCATGGACACGGTTTAGTGGTGAACATGGTGGTGGTGCTGGCTGATCATTGGACTCTATCATCTTAAGAGATCTTTTCCAACCTCAACAATTCTGTGGTTTTTAAGACCTGCTGCTGCTGAAGTCACTCATCCTCCTGGGTCACCTTCAGCTGGCAAAAAAGTGTGCACTGATGGGGAGATGGGGGAGGTGAAAGCTGTTTGGAGACTCTTTGGAGAAGGGAAAAAGGCACATTTATTTAGCGTCATCGGAACTGCTTTGTTAGCTCAACAGCTCGTGGTGTTTACAGTGGCAGCACTTAGCAAGGAGAACCTCTGTGACTGCAGAAAAGTTATCACCATTGAAAAATTACTTCAAGCTTTTCATTTAATGCTTCACAGAAGAGACAAATAAAATGTTTCAGAAAGGCTTTACCACCAGGCTCAGTTCTGCTCCTCTTCAGAATTAAAGAGGGCAAAAGAAATGGCAGTTCTTGGCACAGAGCTCCTTTGCCAGGACCAAAAGCAAACTGCCAACAATTAATTGAACAATAATACCCAACCACTTGGAAATAATTAACACTGAGATTTAAAATAGCCCATTTCAATCACCCAGAGGAAATGGGTTAGGAGGGCAGGGAAGGGGAGCTAAGAGAAATGTTCCTCAATTTGAAACATAACCCTAGTCCAAGGATTTGGTTCCTTCTCAGTCTTATTAAATAGCACATTTAACTAAGTATTAAAAGCACAGATAACCTTGTGCTGGTCTAAGAACATTGGGAAGGAAGGTTTG